CGCCTCCGTCGCCCTCATTCTCAGGCGGAGCACGGGGCTTACAGAGCCCGGCGGTCACAGAGCGCTCCCCGGGAGCCCCCCTGGAGCAAAGCCGGCTACAAACACCCGTCTTCCTCCCCAAAAAAATTGAAAAGCCCCAGACGGTGCTGGCAGCACCCACTGCTCTACAAAGCCCCATCTCTTCACAGCGCAAAGCTTTGGCAGGACGCGTGCCCAGACCACAACAAATCTTTAAGCTTTCCCCAGCTCAAGGCAAACTCCTTACGGCGCTCGCAGTTCAACTCCTAAACTGGGGCACCGTCCCTGAACGGATTTTGCTCTGGGCTCACGATGAGGGGATGCTCAAGCCCATAATCCCCTCCCTACACCATCCCCTCCCAGTACGAGACGCAGCTTCAGCTGGACCGGCCCCCAGCGGAGCACCGGGGCGAGCACCAAACAGCGCTCTCGTGACCATGGCCATCTTCCAGGGCGCTGCCGGCGCTCCTCCCTCCCTGACCTCCTTCCTGGTATTTGCCCTCCAGTGGCACGGACACACGTGGGACGGCACCATCAGCCCTTCCTCCCACCCTGCCCTTGGGGATTGCTGGACTTGAGCCGGGAGATGAGACCTTGCGTAGAGCCGGGCACCCGAGTCAGTCCCGGTGGGGGACAGCAGACACCACAGTCAGACTGGCCAGGGCTTCCCAGAAGTCCCCCCCTCCCGCGCGGGTCTGACCAGCAATTGCAAACCACCTCGGGCACGATCCGTCCTCTTCTAGACCGGGTCTGGTCTCCTTCTGACCTCTGCACGTGGACAGTTGGCCAAGACGATGATTTTGCTGTTTAGCACCCACCAAAACATGGCCACGGGGAGATCACGTATGCCCTCCCTCCCCAAGACACCCAGCAGCCGGGAGGGCATTGCCAGCCACGTGGCCCTCAGCGGGCTTTCGGGGCGAGCAGCAAGGAGACGCTCAAGGTCCTTGGTCACGAAGGGACGGATGCTGCGAATGGGGGAGACCAGCATGGCTCCTGCTTTTGGTTTGGACTCTTGAGTGGCCAGTTCTGAAGCTTTGCTCTAGAAGATGCTGCTCAAGATGGGCTCCTCACCCTCGGAGAAGGGACCGGTAAAACCTCAGCACCCCGGGCTACAGAGCCACGTCCCCTGGCTGAGACGAGGGTGGGGGCAGCGAGAGAAGGCAGCAGGACACAACAGCAGACCTGTCCCATAGGACTTCGA